ATGAATTTTATATTATTAATTATTATAAAAAGACAAAAATGGTTTAATTTTGAGGATAGGAAAGAGCTTTTAAAAATATTGTAAATATCAATGACAAGTAAAATTCTTAAGTCCAATCCCAGCTGATATATGATGATAGACCCTTCCTCTATCTTTCCATCCCATTGAGTTCAAAAAAATTTACTCCAAAATTTGTACTTCAAAATTTAATAGCACATATGTCTCTTATATACAGGTTATCATGCCAAATTTTGTTTCTTAATCTTTACATCATTCTGAGATATTAAATGAAATAGATACAACACACACAAATTTGCATGACTACAATACTTTTCTGTGTTATGTTATAATAGCTGGAAAAATAAAAACTAACAAATTTATATCAAGAAGTGCACTGTCGGGAGCAAAATTTATTTTCGTTTTTGCTTATAAGTGCTATATTCTGACTACTTGGAATTATTTTTGTTTTTTCTTTCTTGTTTCAGTAAAATATAGAAATCTTATAAAAGTACATAATTTAATGCAGTGTTTCTCAACCTCTAACGAATCGTTGCCCCCTTCAACATAGTATCGCCCCCTTCAATAAAACCGTTACGTATTATCGCTCCTTCACTACAAAATTCCGATGCCGAGGGACAAGGCTAATGCCAAATTCGTACTGCATTGAATAGACTAGTGTTGTTTGTTTAATTATTGTACGATATAACGAATAAAATATCTAATTATTCTTAATATAATGTTTTACTATATCACCCAGAAAATTGTTTTTCGCCCCCCAAAATATAAACTGTTACCCCCTGAACATGGAAAAACGCCCACATGGGGGCAATATCGCCCCCATTGAGAAACACTGATTTAATGTGACTTTTTCAAAGAAATTTCTACTATTCTGTTTAGTGTATGTTGTTGTATATTTTATTTATATTAATTTGTTATAATTGTAAACAATTTAAAACTGTATAAAATGTATCATTAATTTGTTAAAAATAGTGAAGAAAAAATTAAACAGAATCAGTATACATTAAGTAGAGTTAGGATTAGCATAGATTCAGAAGTAAATTTTTTCTACAGTTTAACACAAAAATTATAATTCTTAAATGAAAATGTTAAAGTCTAAAGAAATTGTCTTAATTAGTATGATTAAGGGGGACAATCTACTATAAAAATTTTCTCATTTGGCACTCTAATAATTTACAACAGAATGACAAGATCTCTGATTGCTTGCAACCATCAGATCAGAGCTTATTGGTCTTAGTCAACTTTTTACACTATACTAGGGTTGCTAACTGACCTTCGTTGAATTATATTGTCCTCCCATCCTCTTTTTATCAATAATGTCCACATGTCCACCTTTTGAGTACAGTTTTAATTTTTTGTTTTTGTTTAATTTTATTTATCGTCTCTTAAATATTATCAGCAGATGACATTCTGCTGTTCTGTATTTTAAAGTGATAGCTTTGTTTTTATCACTTGCTAAAGTAATGGAAAGAGAAAGACACTACTATTAATCAGAGTCGGTCAAGCAAATAAAATTTAGAGACCCAATTAGAATGACATGATAGAACGTTTGATTATAATTGTAACATTGAGTTTAAAATCCTATTTATTATATATTCAATGTTTTATAATTAATAGACAAGATGGAAAGTGTTGAGATTTAACAAAATAAATCTCTAAATTTAAAGTAATGCAAATAAAACAAATAATATCAACAACCAAATATAACTATAAATAAAATTTGTATACTACTTTATACTGTATTATTACGATATTAATTTATTAAAATTTGTCTAAAATGGAACTAGATGAGAATTTTTCATTTTGACAGATTTCTGTTTTATAGATTATTTTGTTCATTAATGCAAAAGTTGAAAATGTTAAAAATGAAAAAATATTCATATTTAGGTGCTTAGTATTGGAAGCAACTTCCAGATATTTGGAATATGGAACAAGTGGTTATATTACTATCTACTTATAAAGTTAATAATTATTAAATAAATAAATACTTGGTTACTGAAACCAATTTTTTTTTATAATTATTAAATTTGGAATAATTTAGTATTAGATAAATTGGAATGACTTGACACAGACTGAACTTGCAAGTCATGTGTAACGTATGACTGCATTGTCTGTCATGCTGTTTAAATACATTTATTAACAAAACTAAGTTATGCACTCAAATAGAATTATCTGATTACTGCAAAACTTGATATATGGCTGTGTTTCAGGCAGGTAAGTAAATTATTATGGTTGTGGTTCAATTATGTGCCAAGTAATGCCACCATAGTGTCTTAAAATTGCTACCCAGTATCCTATAAAAATGCTTACAGAGGCTTACTCTGTTTGGAATTTTTATTTGTTGTTTGGTGGTCTTTTAATGCCTTGCATGCCTGTATGATTCAATCAAACACAATATCCATAGCTGACATAGTTTGAGAAGGACTGCATCATTAGACTGAGAGAAGCAGGATGGTCATTATTGCCAGTAGGGATTGTATACCGGTTTACCGATTTACCGGTTAACCGATAAATTGACAAAAAAACATTCGGTAAACTTACCGGTAAATTTCAAAAATTTACCGGTAATTCGGTAAATGAAAAATCCATACTAGAAATTTCTATGTAGAAAATATTGTGTTTATAGATATTTAAATAGGCTAAAGGGACATTGGAAAAAAACAGGTAAGTGTAAGCAACAATATATCTCATTATTAATTTTATGTGAGATAGTTTTTGTTTAATTTTAATTTAATGACCATTCTTCCAACAAGTGTTGAATCAGAAAGGGTATTCTCGGGATCTGGATTATTTTGTACAAAAATTAGATCAAAATTAGGAGATAAGACTATAAATAATTTAAGTTTCTTGAGAAGTTAATTTTAAAAAATGGTAATCAATAAAATGGTATTAAGTACTATATATTATTTCTGTTGTCTTTTTATAGATTTTCTGTATTATTTTATTTCTGTTTATTTTTATATTTATTATTATAGTTTGTTTAGAATAACACTTTAATTTTTATATTTTTTATATTTGATATCTTTGAAATAAAAATGTGAAATGGAAATCATAATGAATTATATTTTTTATCACCTTAATTTTATTTTTCAAGAAAAAAATTTACCGGTAATTTATTGGTAAACCGGTATTTTAATTTTCATTTACCGAATTACCGGTAAATGAAAAAGTCGGTAAATTTACAATCCCTAGTGCATGCTATTTGATATCTTTGAAATAAAAATGTGAAATGGAAATCATAATGAATTATATTTTTTATCACCTTAATTTTATTTTTCAAGAAAAAAATTTACTGGTAATTTACCGGTAAACCGGTATTTTAATTTCCATTTACCGAATTACCGGTAAATGAAAAAGTCGGTAAATTTACAATCCCTAGTATTATTATTCCAGTTTCCTGTTTCATTTTAAAATATAACATATAAAACGAAAAAAAAATGTCCCGTCTACTAGTAATGTTCGAAACTTCAAAAACTCTGAATTTATTTTAAAAAAATTACAAATTATATTTAATAAAAATAATTTTTCTCTTATTTTTCTTTCAAACTGTTTATAAAAATTCAATATTCGGAGTTTATTACGATCAAATATCTCTAGTTTAAACCGCAATTTAATTGCGGTTTGAGCTAGACATATCGAGACTATTAAAACNTAATTTCCATTTACCGAATTACCGGTAAATGAAAAAGTCGGTAAATTTACAATCCCTAATTGCCAGGTTTCTCTCCATCTGAGTTTTCTGACCTGACTGTGAGAAAGTGTTAGGACAGTAGATACATGAGGGCATGCATACATTGCAGGTAGGCTCCGGATATCTCAGGTAGACCACCGGAAGAGTTGATCATTGATTGTGAGATAAACACAAACAGCTGCAATGGTGTCTTTTATATGCTATATAGAGACTGGTAAAAGCCTTGCTACAGAACCCTGTCCATTTTTTACTTTGGCAGGCAACTAGCAGATGAAAATTTGCATGCATGGTAACCTGCCATTAGCACCTCAGCATCATTGCCTTTGTTTGTAATTATGCCATGTTAAAGAAGCTTAGATTACTACAACTAGCAGAATGTTATGTTATCTTAGTGATGAATTTCAGAGACAGTCATTGTATTGGAGTGTAGAGGACCACTGGTAAGTGTTTCAATTCCACTTTTACTGTTGACAACACACTTCCCCAATTCTGCTGGTATGCTGGTCTGTGAGCAATCTCTCAATGTCAATCAGTCATTCCTAGTTCTGGTGTAAGGAACATTGATGGCATAGCAGTATATTAATTAACCCTTTTGCAATCATTTGTCAATATATTGTCAAGTAGTTAATTAATCTGAGAATTTATGATTCTTATAAAACATTCCATTCATAGATGGCACTACATTACTGTAGGTTATTCTGTACACTTGTTTCACATATTTAATACCAAATGGCATTTTTTTATTTTATTTTATTTTAAAGAAATCTTATGTATTTGTATATTGCCTTTCGTGGCAAGGTTGCAAACAGCCATTTTCCAGAAATGTCTGTCACGTTGCTACACTTCCTTTGCCTGTTTGGTCTCCAGGTAGTTGCCCATTGAGCAGTTGTGGGATCTGCCCTTAGTGCAATATTATTATTCTTTTCAATATGTGTATTATATATCGTTTCTTCAAATGTTATATATACATTCTAAATTAATGTATAATCCTATAAACTAGATAATTTATAAAAATACTAAATGTTTTACATATTATCTAGTTATAATATTGAATTATGTAGTAATTTACATGGGATTATAGACATCATAAACTCACTCCACAACTTAATATTTGAGTATGTTGTTAAATTTTTTATTTTATTAATTGAATAATAGTTTAGTTATAGAATATTTTTTATAAGCTGTTAAAATAATTAAATAAATTACTAATAAGAAATTATGAAGTTAATAATAATGAAAATAATTGTAGAATGCTATTTTCTAATATTTAACTGCATTTTTGAAAATTTAGTTCGATAAACAATGAAACAGAAGTCATTTACTCTAGGCTTAGTATGAGTAGCGATGAAGGTTTCGAAGCAGAAGAAGACGAATCTCTTTTAGAACCGCATTATCTAACAGGGAAAAGACATAGTAGAACGTATAAGTTTTTTTGCTGTTTTTGTAATTGTGTACACTATATATTTTCAATGTAAGTAAGAGTTCATTTTATGCTAATTATTAATTTTAAAATTTACAAAAATTTGATAAAATATTGAAAGATATACTGTTACAAAATATTTTGTATTATATAGCCAAATCTGATTAATTCTAATCCATCACTCTTGTTGAAATTTGTATTTAAATTAATACAGGATCTTCTGAAAAGAATGTTACCATTTTAAATTACTGTAATTATGTTAATTATTATCCAATAATGTCATAATCTACATTAAAACATCAGAAAATTGCTCAACTTTCAAATTTGCCCATCACAATTTCTTAATGTGTCCACCTCATGTTACATGTTACATATCCAATTCATACTCAAATTCTTCCTATGCTTGCTATGGCATATCCGTCTTCACTCTCTCCCTGGCAGTCACAATTCTATATATCCTGCAGATTACTCATGTTGCACAATGATAAGTGATTTCAATTTTGCAAACTAACACATAATGCATTCTCTGTCATGGAAATGCTATTTTTACTTATGGCACTTCCTAGAGGTAGTAGACAGCAAGACATTTGAATGAATATGGGAGATGAAACATACAGTTACTCTGTTGATTGGTATATGTCACATACTTCTTGGATAATAATTAACATTATTACAGTAATTTAGAATGATAGTATTCATTTTGAAAGATCTTAAAATAATCAAACACCTTGGTATTTCCAGCAACGAAGTATTTAATAAAAAATATAAAAACGTTTTCGACTATTTTTAATAGTCTTCTTCAGTTAAAACAAAAACGAACGTAAAATAAAATGCAAGCAATACAACAGTTTAAAAATTTGAAATTAATTACAACAAAATAAGAATAAAATAAAACGTAAAAACAAAATAAAATTACAATAAAATATTCAGAAAATTAATTGCCATGGTAAAAAGATTTCCATGCGCAGGATAAAATTCCGAGGATCAAAGGAATTTTTCGGAATAATAATAGGTAGATAGCTAGGTTTTTGATAAATATCTGTCCAAATTTCACCATATTTACAAGTGATAGATAGATCTAGAAAATTTACGCTAATGTCACTTTTGCTTGTACACCTAATTTGTTATACTTCGTTTTAAATGTATCAGGTCAGTCCATAAGTTCATGCATATTTTATGACCTTGAGAAAAATCGTGTTTTGCTGTTAAAATTGTCAGTCTAATGCAATACTTTTTACACTGAAGTGTTAAATTAGATCTCATTCATATAATACTGTTCAGAATTGGGAACATTTCACTTGTTTATTTTCTTTAAAATGGAAGTAACAGACGAATATAAGAGATATGTTTTATACTTTTTATTTTTAAGTGATGAGAATGCTACAAATGCAGCCAAAAAATTAAATACTGTTCATAATCAAACTGTAATTAGTGTAAGGACTGCGCAGAAGTGGTTTGAAAGATTTAGAAATAATGATTTTAGTGTGGAGGATAAGGCTCGTACTGGAAGACCCGTTGACTTTGATGATGATGCTCTCTCTGCACTAGTTGAAGCAGAACCATCTTTAACAGTTGATGAAATTGCGGAACGTTTAAATTCATCCCATGGAACTGTTCATAGACATCTACAACAAATCGGAAAAGTTTCAAAGCTAGGAAAATGGATACCACATGAACTGTCAATAGCTAACTGACAACAACGTCAACTGCTCAACTCAAAAGCTTCAACTGGGAAATTTTACCTCATCCACCATATTTGCCAGATATTGCTCCCAGTGATTATCATCTTTTTCGGAGTTTGCAGAATTTTTTAAAAGGAAAAACTTTTGAGGATGAGAACAATGTAAAAAAGGCTATTTCTGAATATTTTGATTCAAAACCGAAATCATTTTACAAAGACGGAATTAAAAAGCTACCATCAAGATGGCAAGAAATTGTACAAAATAATGGTGAATACATTATAGATTGAAATAAAATTTAATTAAAATTTTTTGTTGCTTTTTTTGTAGATAAAAATACGCATGAACTTATGGACTGACCTGATAGCTTGCACACCTAATTTGTTATACTTTAAAAACAAACTACTCACCACACCTCAATAATAATCACATACACTGAACCAAATTTACGGTGTGGTACGATAAACGACGAAAAATAACGAAAAACAAACGTTTTCGAACCCCTTCTGGGCTCTTCATCAGGTTCCTACAGTTTTAGCTCGTAAATTCGAATAACGAAAGTCGTTAAAATAAGTACGATCTTCAGTTCGAATCGTTCTTTCAAAATTATACGACGCGCATGCGTGCCGAGTCTGCCTACTCGGATATAACGGGCGGCTAAATCGTGTTGTGAATCAACTCTTGCCAGGCCATCGACAAAAGCATCTCCTCTTTAAAATTTATGCACGTAGTATCGATAGAGGCTTTAAAGATGTGCATCGCCTCTAACCATTTGAGATGATCATTGGGAGGCGCGCCGAGGAGGAGATTGGCCCGAGTAAAGTCGGCAACTATTTCCGGGTCCGTTACGTATGTTGTGAGGGCCGTGTTGGTTCTCCCGTGACGAATATCTGCCTGATGTTCTTGCATTCTGATGCCTACGGACCTTTTAGTAGAGCCTATATATACTAAATCCCTATTGAATCTGTTGTCTCTCAAAGGGACACTATAGACTCCGGATCTTCTGCTGGGGGTTAGGAGGGTCCTTCCCATTACTTAAGATGTTAAAAATGGTGGGACACCTCCTGTACGCAATACTTATTTGGCGCTTCCTGGCGATCTTAGCATATATAGATCTTAGATATGGGTTATATGTGACGGGGATCTCAGAAGAGCCTTCACACATTCTTCTAACATCCAGGCTCGAGATAGGGAGCTAGCGTCTATACAGCGGGTGGCCGCAGAACACGGGTATAACAAAGTTATACGTAGGATGGTACAGAATTATAGCCGGATATATGCTGACAGCGCTCGGCTTATGGACCAACACAATGATAACCAACTGGAAGACATAGAACGGATCCCCGTCACATATAACCCATATCTAAGATCTATATATGCTAAGATCGCCAGGAAGCGCCAAATAAGTATTGCGTACAGGAGGTGTCCCACCATTTTTAACATCTTAAGTAATGGGAAGGACCCTCCTAACCCCAGCAGAAGATCCGGAGTCTATAGTGTCCCTTTGAGAGACAACAGATTCAATAGGGATTTAGTATATATAGGCTCTACTAAAAGGTCCGTAGGCATCAGAATGCAAGAACATCAGGCAGATATTCGTCACGGGAGAACCAACACGGCCCTCACAACATACGTAACGGACCCGGAAATAGTTGCCGACTTTACTCGGGCCAATCTCCTCCTCGGCGCGCCTCCCAATGATCATCTCAAATGGTTAGAGGCGATGCACATCTTTAAAGCCTCTATCGATACTACGTGCATAAATTTTAAAGAGGAGATGCTTTTGTCGATGGCCTGGCAAGAGTTGATTCACAACACGATTTAGCCGCCTGTTATATCCGAGTAGGCAGACTCGGCACGCATGCGCGTCGTATAATTTTGAAAGAACGATTCGAACTGAAGATCGTACTTATTTTAACGACTTTCGTTATTCGAATTTACGAGCTAAAACTGTAGGAACCTGATGAAGAGCCCAGAAGGGGTTCGAAAACGTTTGTTTTTCGTTATTTTTCGTCGTTTATCGTACCACACCGTAAATTTGGTTTAGTGTATGTGATTGTTATACTTCATTTTTTGTATTTGAAGGGAACACGTATTTACAAGAAAGAGGAGTTCCAGTGGGGACCTGTTATCCCCATTATTACGTGAACTAGTATTACGACGATTAGAAAGTAATGTACTGCTTGTCTTTATAAACGACATACTTGTATATGCAAGATATGTTGAGGATGTTTTCATCATTTGGAGGAATAGTGATAGCGCTCAATGTTTCCTTAACAAAATTAATAACAACCCATATGGTTTGACTTTATCAATGGAACAAAAAAGTTGCTCAAAATACCAAGGTGTTTGATTATTTTAAGACATTTATATTCCAGTAAGTTATTTTATTTTATTTTGAAGGATCCTCTGTATTAAAAAATATAGTCAATTCAAATACTTTTAGTATGAAATTGGATAATTTGAAGCTTGTATATTTCATATTTTGAGAATGAAACTCAAAAAACAAGAGTAGCATATAGTATACTATAGCATATACTATATGCTGTATGGTCAACTGACTGTGTAGAATACATGTATTTTGGGAATTTTTCAAAATGCATGTGTTCTATAAACTCTTTTGGTATGGTAGAAATTGTGTGTTTCACAATTTTAGTGATATTAGTGTTTAGATAGTGCGTTGTTAGGCTATTTTTTTTAAAATAATATCTAAGTAGAGTTTGGCAAATCTCAGCTCAGCTATTTAGAAATAATCTTGATGAGCAAACTAAGGATTGAGCTATGAATTTGGAATGGAGCTGAGCTGGGGTGTGTTGCAACAAAGCCCATTATTAAAATTAAATTGCATCTGTACTAACAGTATGTCAGATATGTTTTCATTTATCTGTTAATGTTATTAAAATGAGAGCATTCAAATAAAATTATTTGAGCATTAAGCAATTGAACTATAAACAAGGTTTAGGTTAAGAGAATTATTAAAAGTAACATAAGGTAATATTTTAAAATGATATAAATAACACAAGTACTTCTAGCAAAACATGTACAGCATAGTACAGCCCCAATAATTTAAAATGAACAAAAACTGAGGCTATCTAGAATTACAAAAACTTTGAATATGGACTGGAACTGAGCTAGATGTGAGCTGATCTGCAATTTTGGACTTCATCTGACAGCTGATACCAACCATCAAACTTTTGAGCTTCAACTCTGCCCATTTGGTAGAACTGTATGTGTAAGCATAGAATGTACATGAGTTTATATTTAGTTTTTAAAGTTAAAGCAATTACAGGAATGGAAAAGAAATTAAAGGGGAAATATGAAATTACTAAGCAAAAGGAAATATCAACAAACCCTAGAAACTTGCAGAAAACTAGTTTGGTTTTCGAAAACTGATAATTTGAACTTTATTGGAATTTCCTTCAAGTTTGAATTAAAAAAGACTTGACTATAGTTTTTCAGTCAGTTATAATTTTTGTAATGAAAATATGTGGAATGATCAAAAAATAACTTTACAAGATCCACAGTTTAAAAACAAAAGTATTGTTGAGTGTAACTTTAATGTATGTAGTGAAGACTCAGATTAGCAACATTGAATGATGCAAGAGTGCAAGACAGTTGTGATGTAGCATTTCCAAATGATAACAATAGAAAAATAGTCTTGCAAAGAAGTTCATCAATTTTTGATGGCCAAAAGGTTTCATCTGCTGAAATCCTTTATCAGTGTATCAAAATGTATGGGGACGGTATTCTGTCAGATATCACAGAACAATGTCAGATTTGCAAGTGGGTGTGACAAAAGCCACAATGGGTGTCTGCTAGACAATGTAAGTCAATGCTGTAAGAATTGACGAACTGATCCAGGACAACAGCTACATCACTTTGAGATAATTATGATTTATTTTGGTCTGGTATATGAAACTGTAAAAAATGTGTTTATGATGACTTATAGTACCATAAGATCTTTACAAGGTGAATCCCATGTTCATCTATATCTGACAGTAAAGTATATTGATTGATGGCATGTCTCAATTTCTTATAACATTATAGGTAAGGGGATGACTTTATCTGATGAATGATTGTAGCCAACACGACATAAACTAAAGCCACAAGGACAGGAATTTTTTCAGGATGGGAACAAGTTTGTTATGTGTTTCAATAAAGGCCCAAACAGGCTTGAGTGATTTTCTTGAGAAATAGCATATTGATTGCAGATAAATCCTACATGTTTTAATTTCTGCACTAAAAGTATTTGTTTGTATTACCAGTGTTGTAAAGTTATATTCTGATCATTCAAGGTAAATAATTTTCTTACTAACAAGATGTTAAATTTATTTCTTATGAAATATTTTAGATTACTTATGAGATTAATGTTAAAATTTAGTGATTAAAAAGTCTTACGTAATTAAGCTGATAAAGTTATTAAATTTTTATGGTTTTATTTCTTTTATCTATTATCTACAGATGAAAGCACAATGTGTAATGATGTGTATATAATAACATTTTATATGTCATTTCAAATTGTTTATGAAAAATTGAAAGGCAAGACACAAATTAAAAAAAAATTCGAAATCAAACTATAAGAAATCTTTAAAATGTCAAATAAGACTATTTTTTTAAAAACATGAGTAGTTAATGAAGAAATTGACTTTGTTAATGTGCAAATATCTGTGATATCAATGTCCATTTTGTAATATCACCAAAGATTATGAATACAAAAATAAAACTAAAAAGAAAGGTTTCCATGATAGCAGATGAATTTTATGTCTGTTCCATGAATGTCCAGAGTGAAGATGAAAACCTTTCTCTCCTCTATCCCCCAGAACAAGCCATTCCTTTCCCTTCATTTCTCCGAATTCCTGATGAGCACAGATGTGGAGTTAACGGGGAAGGGTTCTTACGAGTAGCAGGTTTTAAACTCTGCTTACACATTTATATACAGTGGTACCTCAGGATACGAAATTAATCCGTTCCGACACTGAGATCATATCATGAAAATGTTGTAAGGTGAATCATTTTTCCCCATACGATTACATGTAAAACCAAATAATTTGTTCCAACACGAAAAACACACTCAAATTTAAGCTAAGTAATACATTAAAAAAAACTATAGTAAGGAAAACACTGAAAAATGCATTTTGTAGTTGTAAATGTATAAATAATCATAATAGAATAATAATTGATAAAAAAAAATGTAATTTTATTTGCACTTTACCTTTGAGGATAGACGACGGTGGAGGTTTTAATTTGGTGGAGGAAGAGAGAGAGAAGGGAAATGATANAATGCATTTTGTAGTTGTAAATGTATAAATAATCATAATAGAATAATAATTGATAAAAAAAAATGTAATTTTATTTGCACTTTACCTTTGAGGATAGACGACGGTGGAGGTTTTAATTTGGTGGAGGAAGAGAGAGAGAAGGGAAATGATACTAAAACTTAACACATAAAAAAAATGTAACAATAACTTAAAAATAACTTAGAAAAGATAAAAAAAATTAGTGTTGTTTTATTTTTAATTTATATTCACTGCTTTTTGCTTTCTTTCCTTCACATCTACCAGCACTTTCACTGGATAGAGGTCACTTGGTAAAATATCTATCCAAAGAGGTTTGGCTTTGCCTACTGTTTAAAATGTTTCTAAAATGACTTAGGCAAATGTCATTACTCCAAGCAGCAATATGGCCAGTGTGAACTTTTTCGGGATATTTCTTTTCAATAAAATCAGTNCACTGGATAGAGGTCACTTGGTAAAATATCTATCCAAAGAGGTTTGGCTTTGCCTACTGTTTAAAATGTTTCTAAAATGACTTAGGCAAATGTCATTACTCCAAGCAGCAATATGGCCAGTGTGAACTTTTTCGGGATATTTCTTTTCAATAAAATCAGTCACTTATAATACCTCAAGATTTCCTTTATCAAGCGAGATCCTTCCACGACGAAGCAAACACGTGGACTGAGACCAACGAACAGAAGTGAATAAAAAATGGCGCTGTGAACTAATGTAATGTCGTATGGTGAATTTTTGTTTGTATCGTGGAGCAAAAATATGTTCGAATTTCATGTCGTATCCTGAAAATTTTGTATGCTGGGGCATTCGTATCCTGAGGTACCACTGTAAAAGAAATGTAGAAAAATGCAGGGTTCGTGAAAAGTTTGACCTTCTTAAGACTATTTTTATTACTGTAAAAATTATTACCTGATTATGTATTTGGATTAAAAATGGTATGTAATGGTGGAAAATTATTATTACAACTAATAATCAGTGCAAAGTATATTCCTGTTGACCCATTGATGCACTGAAGAATTCTCCTGGAGAAACTTCTTATGAAACTAGATTTAAAATTTTATATCTATGAAGTATTAAAATGTAAGATTATAGTTTTAAAGATTATCTTAAAATCATACCATGCCAAGTATTTTTTTTAATTTTGATTTATTTGTGTATTATTATATAAAAACTATTACTTAAAAAAATTAATTATGTTTAAGGTGTTGTAACTCGGTGTCCAGTTGGTGGTGTAGGTGTGGCACCACCGAATATAGGGCGAGAACAGTATTTATTGGGAGAATGTCAAATGAAAGTTTTCCGCCAAATATAATAAAGAACCAAAAATATAATGTTATTACATTCATTCCACTAGTAAGTAGACTTTTAAAATTAATTAATTAATTAATTATTTTTTTCCTTAAATTACTGAAAATTTATGTTTCTAGGTCTTGTTTCATCAATTCAAATTTTTCCTCAATTTATATTTTCTTTTAATGGCGATATCTCAGTTTATTCCTGAAATCAGAATCGGATATTTATATACATATTGGGGACCATTGGTAAATATGTTCTTTATAATTTATTTTTTGTAAAAATGTTATTTTTAAGTACAGTAATACCTCGACTTACGCGAACCCGGAGTTACGCGATTTTCAAATCGCGTCGATTCGTCTTTTGTTTGAGCACTAAGCAACTCTTGATTACTCAATCCCCCCACACTATTGTTCGGCTTACAAGTTCAGACATGTCACGCGGAATCGACACATAGCCACAATTTATTTTGTGTTATTTATTTCTGTGTTTGTTATATCTATGGAGACTTGAGAGACTCTATGTGATGATTTCTTGTAACCATGAACGAATCAAAAGACAAGATAAGATTAACGAAAACATTTATTAGCTTACATACATCCGACTTGGGTTTTACACAAATTGCGAAATTATACCCCGACTTACGTGGTTATCACTCAGTCCCACCTATTGCGTAAGTTTGGGGTATCACTGTATACTGTTTACTCCTTTGTTTTTGCTTTGGTAAAGAAAAATCAAACTAAAATACAATGTTCTATGCATGTGATCACTAGCACAGATTTAGAGTTCTATTATATTTAAATTTTGTTCTATGTGTAATTCTGTAAACCCAACAAGGAATGTTATATATGGTTAGAAACATTCATTCTTCTAATAAATTAATTTTTACTTGCTGGATTGTTGGTTTTTTGAGTGTTCTTGTAGTAATTTCATCCATGTTTTTAGTGTAACTTTTATTCATAGAATGCTGAAAACATCAAAATTAAATAGTTCTATTCTCTAAATATTTTTGGATTTATATTTGTTGTCAAACCTTTAAAATAAATATTAAAAAAATAGAAAATTGTTGTTAATTTAACATATAATTTGATAACATTAATACAGCATTACAGTAGAGCGTCGTTTATCCGAATCAATTGGGGACTGGCGTTGTTCGGATAACTTATTTTTCGGATAACCAATTATGTACGGAAAAATATATTAATTTATCCCGTGTTGAAATTTTTCTCTATTGCGTGTCGCTTTGCGTTAAATTTTTGTCGATGTTAAGCCTAATGAAGACTATTGTCTTGTTAAAAATTATTTTTTTATTTTGTACGAACAAAATAAATATATTGAAAAATATAAAAACAATAAAAAATTATACTTCAGAAGTTAATTTAGTATCAAAAACGTAAAATATTTGAGTAGCC